TTTTTTTTTTTTGAGACGGAGTTTCACTCTTGTTACCCAGGCTGGAGTGCAATGGCGCGATCTCGGCTCACCGCAACCTCCGCCTCCTGGGTTCAGGCAATTCTCCTGCCTCAGCCTCCTGAGTAGCTGGGATTACAGGCATGCGCCACCATGCCCAGCTAATTTTTTGTATTTTTAGTAGAGACGGGGTTTCACCATGTTGACCAGGATGGTCTCGATCTCTTGACCTCATGATCCACCCGCCTCGGCCTCCCAAAGTGCTGGGATTACAGGCTTGAGCCACCGCGCCCGGCTTTGCCCCCATCATTCTTAAGCAAGGTATTAGAAAAATCACTGCCTTAGGGGTTGAATAAAAGTCTCCGGTAAGGGTGTGTTATTTGAAAATAAGCCCCTAGTGTGACTCTCATGCAACCCACCAGGGAGGGGAGTAAGCTCCCCAGAAGAATCATTGATTAAACATTTTCAATTTATAGCTAAGGAAAATGAGGTCCGAAGGACAGGAATAGCATTTTCATTCATTTATTTATTTGAGACGGAGTCTCGCTTGGTTGCCCAGGCTGGACTGCAATGGCACAATCTCCACTCACCGCAACCTCTGCCTCCCGGGTTCAAGCGATTCTCCTGCCTCGGCCTGCAGAGTAGCTGGGATTACAGGCATGCGCCACCATGCCCAGTTAATTTTTAAATTATTTGTAGAGAGGGGTCTTACTATGTTGGCCAGGCTGGTCTTGAACTCCTGGGCTCAACTGATCCTCATGCCTCAGCCTCTCACAAGTGTTGGGATTATAGGCATGAGCAATCCCACCCAGCCCTAAATCAGGCAACATTAAAGCTCTTGCTTATCACAATGTCTGGTATACAGTTAGTACTCAATAAACACTATTTTGGCAGGGCTCTGGCTCACACCTGTAATCCCAACACTGTGGGAGGCCGAGGTGGGCAGATCACTTGAGGTCAGGCATTCGAGATCAGCCTGGCCAACATGTTGAAATTCTGTCTCTATTAAAAATGCAAAAATTAGCTGGGAGTGGTGATGCACACCTAGTCTCAAGTACTCAGGAGGCTGAGGCAGGAGAATCGCTTGAACCTGGGAGGCGGAGGTTGCAGTGAGCCGAGATTGTGCCACTGCACTCCAGCCTGGAAC